TTCAGGTTTAATAATTTCAGGTTCCATACCTACCATAGCACTTTCACTGTAAATCTTCTGTGTTTTCATTTCAGCTGAATTTCTTTTCATTGTGTAAGAACTTCTTCGTAAATAGGAAAACCAGCAGATACAGAAATCTATAAAGTAAATACACAGCAAGATATTCCTTCTATTCTGGCTCAATTTATAATAATCACTGAAGTGTAATTTTATCAAAGAACATAAAGATGTGTAATGATATTTCTTCTTCAATGTATTACTCTACAAAAGTAATTAAATTGAGATAAAGAAGCAGTAATTGAAAACATACTGTGGTAGTGAAACACACTTGAAGCATCAAGACAAACTAGAGTTATCTGACCAATACTGATTTGAGAGAAAATTGAATAGCATTTTTTAAAATTTATCTCTGGGAGCAGACATCTAATAACATTTTCTCTTCAGCTCTGTTCTCTGTATATACTTTGTACTCGTAAAATGTATAGTTCATCTCCAGGAAAAGAGGTAAGAGAATAATGTACGCTCTCGGTTTTTCTCTTGTTCTGCGTATAATTTGTTAAATCAGAAGCCTTTTCTGGAGCTGTTGTTCATGTTGTTCTCTCCTCTCCTCACAGCAGTTTTGGCTAATCCTTATATTACACTCTGATACAAAGATAAATTCTTGTATTTTTGTTTATTATAATCTAAAGAATAAGGTTAGCATTCTTCCCACAGCAGGTGCATGTTACCCTCCACCTTTCTGTGGTGCTGATGGCCAGAGCTGCCTTATGGCAGTTCCTTCCACCTTCTGCCCTTTTTCTCTTGACCTGTACTTTTCACCTATTTCACATCCTTCTGTAACACTCATTGGATATGAGTCAATTTTGATTTTTGCATTAGTCAGTTATTATGTCTGGGCGTTTTTCTTTTCCTTTTTTTTTTTTTCAGATATCCCCCCAGCAAAACAAAACCCAAACCCTGTGTTTAATTTTTCTTCTTGAATTGCACGAGTGTTCTATGAAGTGGAAAAAGAAGGTAATTACAGAGTCAGATTCTTCTCTCCTGTTGGTGTAAGACAAATCAATTCAGTGATATTACAGCAGGATGTGTGAAGTGGGAGTTGAATTTGGCTGTTATAAAGCTGGGAGATTTTAAGACAGAAGCTGATTGTCCTTAGCTATGTGTTGGAGGTATTTTGTTTGAACAATGGGAGAGGGAAGGATAAGTTAGTACGTTCTGTATTTTTCAGGCTACATCGAAATGTTCCTAAAGAATCCTGTTTTCTCTCCTGTTGAAAGAGTTTAATGGCAAATGGTAACTAAAACACTCTCTTCAGAGGAAAAAAGCATATGTGTAAAAATTCAGCTCTCAAAGAATTCTGATGACTAGCACATACGTTCATGATGAAAAATGGCTACTATGTGCATTGCAATAAGATATATGTAACAGGTAACAGAGCAGAAGAATGCTTCTTTGTGCACATGTAAATTATATGGCTCGTTAAATGTGGTATTTCTTTAGGAAAAAAAAAAAAAGTGGTGTTTTTTAAAAAGGAAGGCATTTAAGTATATGTGTGGTGGGGCATAGTGCCTGACTGTCCAGTTCAGAGATACTTTTACCAAAAATGCCTCCGTATAGATATAAAATGGATGCTAATGATGAACTCCACTTTTGGTGTGTATGATGGATAATGATTACGTATTATGTACATGTATGTATTTATGTAACAATGAAGGAAGAGAGATGTATTGATCTAACATGTGTCCGGATGCACACATTTTTAATCTAATATATTTAGAAATCACTGAAATGATTCCTATTCCCTTGGCACTAATAAAGTAAACAGAACTTCTGAGTATGTAGCAGTGCCTCATAATCTATAAAAATTGTTGCCAACTCAAAACTAAATAGGTGTGATGAATTTACGTTTCTATTTCACTGTTTTGTGATGTGTTAAGGTGTGCTTCCTGAATATTCTAATAGATACTGTCGCTGTACTCAGCTTTTTTTTTATTTTTAGTGTGGGCTAACTTCATTTTACAGTGTAAAATTGAATGGAAATGAATTTGAAGTTAAAAGACAACATAGTCAGATACTAGCTAATACTTAAAGAACAGAGAGCGTGTGCGAAGTGGTGGTGGTTGCTCGTGTGTCGGAGATATATTTGCTGAAATTAATATTTTTAGAGTCCTGTACAATTCTGCTTACCTTAGGCTGAGTGGTGTGAAATATAATTGAACTAATGACTCACTGTGGTGAGATCATTTTTAAGAATGCAGTGGGCATATTGTACAAGACTATGACATATATTTGCCCTTTTTTTTCCCAGTGATGCTGCCTAGTTTTGCGTTCTGTTTTAGTCTGTCTGTCAAGCATCCATGGCACACCTTCACATCCCTCCTAAAATCCTCTTCCATATCGGTAGGATATACAGTGTTCTTCACTAGTTACTCTTTATTTTATCTTGTGTGTGTTGAATCTGTTCTCTTTGTGGTACAGACCATGTGTGATTCTGGTTTATAACAACTCTGTGTATATATAGGATTGCAGATATTCTGACCTGTGTTCTGTATTTCTTCCTGCTTTGTGCAAAATTTTCTTCTGCAGACTTTGAAGTGTAGTCCAACATAGTATAAGTAATTTTTTTTTCTTTATTTATGAAAGATGAAGAATAGTAAATGTAGAAATGTACTTGCTTATATTCTTAAAGGCAATCAATGACTGTGATCGGCATAGCCTTTAAAACCTGACTTAATCTCTCTTACTAATTCCAAGGCTGCATTTTCTCTTTGCTATGAAGTACTGCTTCATGGAACCTGACTTTCTAATGAATGAGCTTTTAACACTAAATGTGTGGTTCTGGAGGATTTATTTAATTTTAAAAAGTAAAGTCATTTTGTCAAGAAACCTTTCAAGTCTGAAGGCTTTTCTTAAATGCTTATTTCAGATAACGACATGATTAAGCTTATTCATGAGTGGTCACTATGATTTCTATTTTTCCTTCTTTTCAAATAAATGAATAGTATTTTTAATTGATTTAAGAATGCTTTATTGGCAGATAAGTAGTCAGTGAAATCATATTATGCTATTAACCCTAGATATCCCATTTTTTCTTGTCTCTAGCGTTCAGAATACAGAGAGCTGGGCAGAGAAATTTTAGTGTTAGAAAAAAAGAAAAAAATTATAGTTCCTTCTTAGGACTTTTGGGCACATTTCTTTTCAGAAGAGCTTATTCCTGAAAGAATGTTTTCAAAGTAATAAATTTGGAACATATAGGATTTAGAAAAAGGAAAAAAAAAGCTTGTTGCATAAAACCATTTCGCTTACTTCACCCCTGTAACCTCTCAAATAAGATGAAGTGTTTCAATTCTTGTAGGAAATTAGAGATTGCTGGGGGGAAATCAAGATGGTAAGTGGGTACAGTTGAATGCAGGTATCATTGAGCCAGCTTTTAGAGACAAGCCAGTGATACTATGTTTAAGTATATGTGACACAATAATTTTAGATACAAATTATTATCAATTAGATAGTAAAACTTCTGGGTAGAATTTGGATGATTATAAATGGTGACTTTTGTGGAATATGGAGCTGTAGTCTTCTGTTCTGGTAAACTAAGGCATGAGCCTAAGAAAACTAAGGTACATAACAAGTACTGCTTTTTTTTAAGCAAAAACCAGTTTTGGTAATACACATGATTAATAGTTAAATGATACAACAGAAAATAGCTTTTTGCTCCCTTGAAACCATACATTTTGTTATGTGCAGCTTCGAAAAGTGATTGAGAAGTCCTCATTTTCTATGCAATACTTTACTCAAAATAGCTGTCATATTCAAGGATGCTTGTTTTTTTATAGAAGTCAATACTTATTGAGAATTAGCCTATTAATTATGCTGGTAGCAGGTGACATATTGAGCAGTTTGTATAACAAGACAAGTGAAATCACGCTAATTGATTCTGTATTTTTTTGTTTTGTTTGCCCCCCATAACTGGTAACTAGATTACTGGATGTAACCACCATTCATTGACATTATGCATTTTTAAAACATGGGATAGTGCAAAACATTCAACAAATTTGCATTCGGATGAATATTCTTGCTTACAGTGCTATGCATGGTGATGACTTCTTAAGTGTTCTTCCTCCTTCATTGCAGATACAAGATGAAATAGAAAAAAAGGTGGTAGAAAGGTGATAGACCGTGGCTGTCCAGGAAATACAGAAATAGGGTAGCTGGCAGTATCGGCGGTTGGTTTGTGACAAAGCAGTTGCGTGGCTAGAACTGAGCATCGTCCAAGGAGAAGTGAAGTCAAAATAATACAAAAGGTATTGAGGGCAAAAAAATTATCTTCTGCTTCAGCTGTGGCACTTGTCAGCTCTATCTGTCTATGCAGATAGACAGGGCAAATGAAACATTTCTGTATGAAAGGTCCCCATGCAAACCCCTTCGGTGTGGATATCAAAGCCTTTTCACAGGAGCGGCTTTCTTGGTTGTCTTTTAGCATCAAGCCTAACAACTGTCTTGTCTGTGGTTTTTGCTGTCATTTAACCTGTCTTTCCCCCTTGCCCCCTCCACCTGCATTTGTAGTTATTCAGTCATTTATTTTCTATGTAGAAACTGTGGATCTGGGATTGTTATATGCAAAACTTTTTACTTTTCTTTAAAGTACTGTCACTTTTTTAGACATTAATTTCCCCCCACCTCCCCCCATCAAAATTAACTGTTTCTGAACCATTAATGGAAGGACATCACATAAATGGCTTTTTCTACACATGCACAGTAATTGCATGCTGGAGAAATTTGAAATAAGTAGCTCCTAAGTATGAGGTCAAAAGGTGTCAAAGTTGTAGCTATATAGCATTCAAAATGTCTCTGATCCATACTGTTTATGAATTAAATTTAAAAATACTGTACCATGCAAAATGCTGAATTTGTGCTTTAGAAAAGTATTCCCGAATGGAATTTTTCTTTAAAAATCCTTTTATATTTACAGAGAAACTGAGCCATACAAATATTTTTAAAAGTTTGCGCTTCTTTAAGGCTATTTATTTTCTAAAAAAAGAGGACTTGATTAGTTTGGACAAATATACACATGGTGTTACGCTAACAAACGGCCATGCAACATGTATCTTACATAATGAAGAAATCGAATATACAAGACCTACTCTATTTAACATATATATTGAAAATGTACAGTCTCGCCAATAGTTAAAAAAAGTTTTTTCTTATTTGGCAGTATTTTTCTACAATTTGTTCAAATGTTCCACTTGATGTGTTTTGGTGAATACTGAAATCTAGTCAGTGACAACCTGAGGTACTAAACATTTCTGCCTTACTTCATTGTCTTCAAAGGTAATCTTTTTGTTCCTTTTAGGCTCTATCCATGAGTTGTGTATTACAGCGTTATTTGGCATGGGATCTGCTTCCACTATTGAAACAACTCGCTTTTTCATCTTACTTTTCAGAACTTTCTGAAACTTTTGCCTTGTGAATGCATAAAGTAGAGGGTGAAATATAGTTGTTCCATATGCCATTACTAGAAAACATAGTCGCAACTTTACCAAAAGGTCACTTGGGCCCAGACATAAGATGGTGGTGTTTAAAACAGAGATGGGTGTCCAGCAGAGCAGAAATGTTGAGATAATCAAGAGGGACATTCTGAAGACTCTCTTTTGCCGTTCTCGTCGCTCCCGGTGCCGTTTTACGGCTCGGCGCAGAGCAATTATGACCGACACAGAAGTCCTTACGCCAAAGACAACGTTTTTTCCTCCACTGCTGTGGGACACGTCCGTAGTGTCATGCTGGGTTGTCAAAGAGATCGTTTTTTTCTTTCTAGCTTTCTTCTTTTGCCCTGTTGTAAATCTTGTACCAATCCGAATGTTTAGAGCCTGGAGAATTTTGGTGTATGTAATTAGCATTACTATAACAGTGAAGAAGAAGATTGGGATCTGAACAAGAAGGTGGTAGTACATTCCTAGCTCGGTGTGGTACTCGTTTGTACTCACGCACAAAAGCGTCTTGTTTTCCCACGTGCTCACGCTTTGGAGGCTGAAAAAGTTGACTTCGATGAAGGGAATCAGGAAGGAAAAAAGCGAAATGATCCATATTGACGTCATTAATATCACAGCCCTTCCCATGGTCAGAATTCGATTGGCGGGTTTCACGGAGATGTCGTATCGGTCCAGAGTGATAGCAAAGACGTTGATTGCGGTTGAAACGCTTGCAAAAGAGACACAAGCCTCGTGGAAGCAGCAGATGAGAGCAGTGTTACTCTCCAGTGAAAGCAGAAGGATAACTATAGTTAGAGGAATACATCCCACACAAATTATTACATCGAGTACATGAAGGTTCATTGTAATTATGTTACTGACAGAATTGATTAAGTTGGATTTCATACAGTAAAGTACCAGCACGGTGAGGTTGCTGCCAAGTCCCAAAACAATTTCTAACATCAAAAATCCAGTGAGAGAAACTTGAAAGCTTAATGGATATGACAGCGGTCGGTACATGTTGGTGTCGATGTCGTCAATGGCATCTCGAACTGTAATGTTCGATTCAGACTGCATGGTGACTTCCAGAATGGGGGAGAAACACATTCTTTTGTTGCAGTTGTTTTTTCTCCTGAAAGGTGAAATAAAATATGGAACTATTTGATTTCTTTTTTTTTTTTCCCACACTTATTGTAGATAAATACTAGGGAAGGAGGAGCGAGGAAAAGCATCTATTCTTATTATTCTTATCAAACTCCTGATTTACTGTACGTTTAGAGCTTTAGTTGGCATGGACTCAAAAGCCTGAGGATCTAGAGTAAGGTCTTTCATCTTTAAAGGAAAGCAGGATTTGTTGTTTGCTTTTTTTTAAAAAACAAAAAAGTGAAAAGCTTCCACTTAGGGAGACAAGGCTTTTATAGTGATGTGGTTTTTACAAAGGACCCATTTGTTGCATAAACTATACTTGCGCATTGCCTTTGTATTGTGCTGAGGGTCATTTAAAAGAATGTTGTTAAGTATTAACAAATTAGTACTCAAGATCGTTTTAAAAAGGCTCTTGTGGAAAAAGAAACTGATAGGAACATGAAGCACTGTTGCTTACATATCATAAAAAGAATATTTAAATTATTTATGGCAATTTAACAGCCTCTTTCTTATGAAGAGTTTGCAGTAGAGTGGTGGGCTGAAACTTGAAGTTCTGTAATTCAGCAGATTTTTACAGTTTGAAGAATTCTGTTCGCTTTTATCTTGTGTGCAGCTACATGTATGAAACTTACCACTATAGTATTTTATGTAAGTATGTATAATTTCAAATACAAAATTTACATGGGTTTGGGGGAATGGAATTTATTATGAAAATATTGCATTTCCTTTTTCTTATTTGAATATTTACATTCTTCAAGTAATTGGTGCCTACATGGAGTAGAAGAGTATTTAATTTTATTCCAGAATGGATTTAAGGGTAATACTTAGAAAGAAAATTCTCTCGTTCAGGGGGCTGAGTGGGTTTTTTTGTGTGTTTTTTGTTTGTGTGTTTGTTTTTATACAAACTGCAGTTGAATATAATGGATTCATATACCTAGTCTGTTTTAGGAATAAGTGAGGTTCAAAAAAAATAGCATTTATTTAGGGGAATTTTTATTTTGTGACTCATCGGCTTTGTTTTACACATGCCAGTAGCTTGTAAATGTAGCATATGCCTGTAATAACTTATGTTTGTATTATTCATATTGTCAGCCAGCCCTTGAGTTTGCAACTAAATGAATAAATAAAAAGAAAGGTTATTCAATTTCTTGTTATGATACTTGAGGTTGTTTTTTTATTATTATTGGGTACCTTTAGATTTCAGAGGGGACATACTTTGCATGAAAGTAAATTTAAATGTGGACCTTTGTTCCATTCTGAATACATTAAAAATGGATAGCACTAAGGTGAACAAAAAAGAGCTCTTTTGAAATGAAAGTATGAATTAAGCACACTTGGGATACAGTGTGCAAATGGTTTTAATCTGCAGTTCTGAAAAGCTTCAGTCGCACAAAACTATTAATTGCGAATTGTACGATGAAAATTCTTGGTATGCTTCAACAGTTATTTCACATGTGCTTCTTAAATACAAAAGATATAAATTAGAATGTATTAGTCTCAGGTGTGTGTGAGATGAAACAAGAAATATTTCAAAAGCTTCGTTTAATTTCTAATCTAGGCAACCTTTATTAGGTTTATATTAACCCTCAGGAATAGGGTTTCTTCTGTGTATGCTGTCCTGGCTGTGAATGGATTTTGAGAAACGATTCCAAAGGCATTACTGGATAAATGGAGTGCTTTCGTATTAGCAAAAGCCAGGAGGAAATCAAAAGCAGATCTGCTAAAACAAACGACAATCTTAACTCTATGCCATCATGCCAGCTGAAATTCTGTGCAGACAGAAAACTTGGGATGTGCTGACTCTTGCGACTAGATTAAGCATTGCCTCCTTTTTGCCTTGCTTAGATTTCAGTGAACTAAAAGCAGAAATGCCAAGGCAGGGGGGGCTGGTTTACCCAACGCGGCACCCCTGGCTGGTGCCCGTTCCCGGGCAGAGGGGGTGCATGCAACCGCTGACCTACCTGCTCTCTGCGCCTCAAGGGCCTCTCACATCACTGCGGCAGCTTGTCATTAATTGATATATGGTGTCACTGACAAGTATTTGACATGCACTGTAACCTGGAAACCAAGTGGTAGCTGGGCTCTGATTTTTGTTCCTTGCAGGATTTTTTTTTCTTTTTTTTGTTCCAGCACTTCAGCAGCAAAAAATTCTGCTTAAACATGGGGACTTCTTAATTGCCTGAGATACTTCTACAGACCAGTGCATATTCTGCGTGTCTGTTCTGAGTTTCAAGCCGGCAATAAGAAATAAACCTTCGTTTAAGTGATGCTAATTTCTTTCCCCTGTTGCATTTTGTAGCAGCCTGTTTTTATTCTCCAGGTTTAAAAAAAATAATTCTGATCTCTCTGTTCAGAGTGTATGTAGACATCCTTTAGCTTTTGGTTGCGTATTTCTTTCTGTAATATTCCTGCTTGTTACATTTGAGTGATGGCTTAGTCAAAGTAGTTGCTATACATCATAAGATCCAGTTCGTGTGCTTTGAGAGTAACCATGAGTTCCCTAATTTGGTGTATTTTCTTTTAAGGAGAATACATAACAGACCATAAAACTGAGAGAAAAATATCCATTAGTCATTATGACAAATAAGTTATTTAATGAGTAGTACAGAAAAAGCTTGGTTAAAGCCTTATTCAGCTTGCTGATGAAGTATGCATATTCTCCTTTTGGGAATTCATGTTTCATTGTTTCTTCATGCATCAGTAGTTTCCACAATTCTGGTTTTAAATTATAAATCCCTCTTTAAGAAATGCTCACCATTTTAAGAATCAATCATTGCACTCTTCTTCTAATGAAAATCTGAGCAGGTGTGTTAGTCTTCCATGTACATTGTTGAAGTGTCATGCACGTAAATAGTAACACAAGTGTGTTCCATGTTTTGTTTCTAATTCCTTTATGTCTTAAGAATACATTTTAGTGATGGATCCTGCTGCTTGTAGGTCATACAGCTAGAAAGATACCCGGTCAACTGCATTCTTCATATTGTCAGTTGTAAAACTGAATTAGTTGCTGCATGCCCTTGTGAAAGGGAGGGAAAAAAAGGGTTAAAAGTAGGGCTTATAATTTCAAAATAAAGTAATGCAAGACTATATTTTCTAATATCACTTATTTCATGAATAAAAGATCTCTAAAATCGGATCGTAAAGATTACACTGAGAATCAGTTAATGTGTTCACTCTTTGCTAGTAAAAGCATGTCATTCTTCTGTCAACTTGCATGAATTTAGTTTTTTGGTCAAGTTTCCTGTTCTCCAAACAGTAAAGGTTACAAAAAACCCCGACTAGAAGCAGTAACTGTTGGATGTAGAGTGCCTGTGACTAGAGCTAGAAAATGTAGTTTCATAGCTCCTGTGAGCAGGTAGTTTATATGTAGAACTCTCTTGCCTTCTCATTAGAAATTGAGCAGAGTCAATGAGCTTTATAGGAAATATGCTGTTGTTTAATTGGCACACTGTAATAATTCCCTTTCTTGAAACAAACGTTTAGCTAATCTGTGTCTTTAAGAAATGACTTGAATGTACAGGGTAATAGAAGAAAGAAGTTAAAAAAAATAACAGAAAAGGAGGATTTTTTTGAGCTATGAGAGATTAGTCATATTAGCCAACCTTCATAAAGCAGTAAGTATACACTAATTACAGACTATCTGATCCTTCAAAGACTAACTGAATAAATCTGTAACCTATTTAACTGCCGATATTTGGAAATACTGCCAAGGGAGGAAAAAAATATTCCCAGTTGCATTATGTGTTTCTCTCCCTCCCCAATAATATATTAGCTTAAACTGTAGTCTATGTTGTACAAACAAAACAGGTTCTTAATATTCTACAAGACTTTAATACAAAATAACATTTTTCTACCACTGTGTTTTTAATGAGGAGGGGGAAATAGCATTTGAATATTTCCTGGTCTCAAATATAATAAAATACTAGCACTTAATGGAAGTCGAATCTGATATTTTCCCTTTTTTCTCCATTTTTTTTTTGTTAAATGTTGCTTATTCTGCATACCATAATAAGGAACAGATCTTACCTCCACTAAAGATTTGATAAATTCTCGATGCAGGTGCAGCAGTTCCAGGTTGGAGGGATTCATTGTGTTCACTTGTTAGCAGAGTAGAAGGGAAAGAGGGTAATAAGCGTATCTCCAAAAAATGACCTTAATGAAAATTTGTGCCTGTACTGTGCCATTGTTTCAGCATTACTGCTAATGTATACAACTGCTTGAGTTCTGGTTTACAGGCTGCTGCAGTCTCCCACTCTTCCTACTGTAGAATCAATAAGCATCTGAAAATACATAATGAAAGTCATTTAACATACTGAAGGCTTCTCGTCTCCAGAGACACCACTGAGATTTGAGCTTTCTGAAAAAAGAAAAGCAGTGCTTCTGAGAGGAAAGCTTGCGATGGGCAGCTTTTGCAGAATGACAGCCTACCTTGTCGCTTCTCCTCACTGCAGAGAGATGCAGTGCATTCACTAATTTTGATTGGTCAGTGATGTTGGGCTTAAATTGTGCTTCATATATGGGATTGATGCCCTCCCTCCCCTCGATTTATATAAGGATTCTTTTATAAAAGGACTAAATTTACAAATGATTTATGAATTCTGGAATATATTAAGGGTATTTTTACCTTTTCACTCTCTACTTTGTGTACACTGGAAACCACATGACACTGGGGAAAAAAAAGGGATTAAACGTTCGTTACTTAAAAAGCTTCCAACAGTCTATATTTGAATTTGCCTGGTTTACATCTGTGATTTTTTTCTTATTTTTTTTTTGTTCTGAGAGCATCTCTGAAATAAAACTGCCTCTCTGAGCGATGCTCAATTTCACCTGTTATGTTTATATGCAGTGGAACATTTAGGTCTTGTCTTGAACAAATTATATTGAGGACAACTTGGTACCTGCGTGTATATTAGGAAAATTCCTATTAGGATTCACAGAGACTTTATTCAGACCCCTAAAATGGGTTGATAATTACATTTATTTCACAAATCAGAAAAGAATGATTTTTATGATCCATCACCATGTACAATGTGTGTACAGTAGTGCACGTTGTTAATTTTGTTGAAATGTTTACTTCTAAAAAAATCGTATGTTTCACATGAATTTTGCTTGAGACTTCACAGGTTTTTGTAAGGATGTCTTGCATGATGGTCTTGACCTTCACTTCGCAGGGGACAGGAGGTGTCTTCATTTTCACTTTTTTGCTTTGTAACTTATTTCTGAATCTGTTCTATCGCTATAAACAATGCTTACAGTCACATAATCAGGAGTAAGAGAAGTAGCACAATATCTGTTTTAATTAGTATTAATGCTAAAGTAAACCTTGGGAATAAATTCAACATACAACCTAAAATAATTATTTTTTTTAAATTGGTTTACTGAAGCCATTAATTTAAGAGCATCTGAGTATTAAATGTTCTGCTGGTAGTTTTTCATCTCAGCTTTGGGAGGTGGGGATTTTTCTGTTGTTTTTTGGTGGTGGTGGTGGTTTTTTCCCCTTGATTTTAAATATTTTTTAAAAATCTTTTTTTAAAGTTTGCAAAGTACTGAATGCTCAAGCATGGTTCTTACATAAGCAACTGTATTGAGATGGCAGTTTTGGTCAAATTTTGATGGGGTCCTCTTTTTAAGTTCTTAGTGAAATTATAAAATGCAATTGTATAACTCAGATGCCTGTGTTTCTTCTCTTTTTCTCTCAGACAGTGATCCAATGTATTATTTATCTTTAGGTAAAAGCATACTTTATTTATTTTTTAAAATGGCTACACATCCGTCTAGCGTGCTTCCTGTTCTGTACTCTTTAATGCTCAGAAAATACCTAAATAAAGATTGCAGAAACTTTGAACGAAGATCAGAAGGTACCAGCTGGCTTTGCTGAGAGCGACTGATTGAGATCTTCGAGCTGTCTCTGTATCGTCTGTCTCCCAAGAGCCTGAAACCAGTGCTACCAGCATAGCTCTTAAGGGTGACGTGGAAAAGAGGATTCCTGAAATGAAAGTGTAAATACTGATATATTAGAGAGATTTACCTGCTTCACTTTCAGTATGACTTAGGATAAGTAGGGAAGCCTATCTAAATTTAAACAGATGATTCTCCATCTCCACTTCTAATTCTTCAGCATGTGCCTGAACAAAGATGGAGATATTGGATGAGCTGTACTGTTAGAAAGAAAAAGATGTGTACACAGAGGAAGATTGTAATGGCATTTTGGATATAGCGTGGATACGTGGTTCAAATGCAGGTGCTCACGGAAGACTTCCGATATTGCAGGAGGTGGTAATGTTAACAATTTTATCTCTAAGACGTGTTCAAGAGGAGTTGAGCCGTGAACATAGCAAGCTTAAGTTTTCTGGAAAGAAAATGAGGAGGAGCAGCAGTACCATATGGAGGCAATGGGGAGTAGGTGGATGGATAGACATGCTTGCAAGCCATTGCTGTGCAGATGCTGGTTAAGATGGTGTGAACAGATGACATCATCCTCAAAGGGTAGATAGGGAAGAGTGGGCAAAAAGAGCCATGTGCAGACACCCAGCCTAGACAGAAAAACGTGCTGTTCTTATACCTGTTTCTGTATCGGTACAGAATGGAACAGAAAGAATTGGACTGTTATTTTGAGTTTTAGAGGGGTGAAAAGTGGTGTGGAAGGGTAATGAGAGGGTAGAAGTATCAGGGAACCCTAAACAAGAGCTCTAAACCAGGAGATTGATGTTGAAGGATATTTGGGCTGAGAATGGCAACACAAGGGGAAAAAGAGACCCAGAATGTGACAGAGGATAGATCTGTGAAGGGTTGAGGCTGCCGGGTCTGATGTGGGGAGAAAGTAAATGCCAAGAGCCAGGAGCTGGAAGCAGAGTGGAGCAGAAGGGAACAGAAGCATGTGCCTGGAAGGAGATGCTGGGTGCACGGGAGCAGAGATGACTGCAAGTGCCATAGCACACAGCCCTGTAGTACTTCTAAATTGAAATCAGGAGTCATAACTGTCTTTTCTGTTCTGCCAAGAGCAGGAAGTAAAAGGATTGGAGGTTGTGTTGTATTTCTGAGTCTCCGTCCATCTTTTACCTATGTCTTACTGTCTACACACAGGAAGTAAATGTCCTGGCATCGACTGTTACTGCATTCCGGAACGGTGGGAGGTCATTTGTAGATCTGGAGGTCTAAACTCTGCTGCTGAGTTGCTAAGATCACTCCAAATGCAGCTTCTTGCACTACAGGTTTTTAAAGAAGCTTACTTGGTTAAAAAGGCTCCTTGGACTCGCAAGGTGTAGCAGGGCCAAATGAAGTACTCCATTCTGATGCTTTCTTTTGGAGTCCTTGGCTATGGAGCTTTAGCACTCTTACTGTGCTTTACGGTTTTAACTTCACATAAACCTCTCACAGACTGTCTTAACATCCAGGTGTCATGGAGTAGACACGTTCACGAAGTTATTTATTGTCACGGTTGGGACACTCTACATTACTAATCCTTGTTCTCTGCATTATTCTTTTTTCAGTTTCTATGATTATCTCCCCTGAGTGCTGCAGCAGCACTTTCTGTTTCTTCCTTTGGGCTGCACATCTTGTTACCGAGCTTGAATCTTGCTGCTCATTTAGTGGCTATTTAGAATTTTACTGCTTCTGAGTCTAAAATTGTCACCTGTTCTCAAATTTGGGCTCACAACTCATGCAAACCTTTCAGTGACACGTGATTGCTTTAGAGCTAGAGTTACTTTTGCAAATGGATATCAGGTGGCTTTGGACATCTTGCCCTGGGATTGTTCTTCAGCATTATTTACATGGTGCATCTGCACAGTTCCAGCTGGCTAGATCCTCCTGTACCTTGCACTTACCTGCACTGATTTCTGCCCAGTTCTAGCGTAGCTCTTCTGGGTACTTTACTGTTTGTTCTAGCAGCTTGTGATCCATATCTAAAATGTGTTTCTCACTGTGTGACATCTTAGTTTCCTCAGTAGTCCATTGCAAAGAAGTTTGTTGGAATGTTGTGACAACGCTGTAACTAATATAGTCTTGAGGAAAAATAAGTGGTGGATAATAGCAGTTTGGGTTTGGGAATTGTACTGATGTGCCCTTATTATGCTGGATTTGTCAAGGTGTTCTGTTTCACCCGATACGGAAATTATTTCTTGCTGGCATGGATCATGCTGCAGCATGCTTTTATGTTGAAAAGGTGTAAATCTGACTCCTCTTCACTACACAAGGTCTAGTTGTTAAAGAATTTTATTATTGTTTAAGAGTGATACGCTGAATAGATGACAAAACTGCTAGAATTTGTACATAAGTACCATTCTGACTGTGATGGTAATGCAGTCTTTTGTTTCGTTTAACACAAGTACTCTAGCCTAATTTCTTTAGTCTATTGAGAACGGTTCTATGACTTTCCTGCGGTAAAGACTGACATCCACAAAATTTAATTTTCCATTCCATAGTATCCAACCCTAATGTTTATTTTCTTTTCTCCCTGATTATTGACTTCCATACATATTAATTTATTTTTATACTGACTTATTTAGGTTAGGTTTTGCCTTTTTTTTTTTTTTTTTTTGCATTTCTAACTTCTCTTTTTCCCTTGCCAATAAACATTTCTACACGTGGGACACTATTCATCTCAATTTCTCCATTTTAGATTTACCTCCATAAATATAAAAAAAAATAGATTTTTCAGCTTAACTATATATCATTTAATTGTGCCTCCTCTTGTATTTGCAAAGATGTACACCTTTGGAAGCAACACACAGACGAGTAATTTTAAATAGATTATAATGTATATACATTTATTTTATATAGCTTTATATATGTAATGAATATATATTAATTTTCAAGATGCAGAATTAACGTTAGAGTAGCAGCTTGAGTACAGAATAATTACCTACTTACGCTACAAAATAAGAATGTCTCAAAAGATTCATTTAGTTTTGTGTAGTTGTTAGGCATAGGTTATTTATTCAGTAGTTCAACTATTGACCTTTTCAGCACCAGAAGTTCCTGTGCTCATGATGAAATGTGTAAATTACAGAATCTCCTTTAGCAATTAATACTGAAACTGTATCTTGTTCTGGGTTTGCACAATGAGGTGATACCAAAGAAGAATCACAGAACCAGTGCAGGTTATCACTCATGTACAGAGAATGCATCCTTCTCATTTCACAGCAGTAAATCTGGTTTAGTGATGTATCTAAATCATGGTCCTGGTGCATTATTGCAGAATTATTTAAGCATTTTAGTTAAAAAAAAAAAAGAGTATCAATTATCCTCAGGAGGGAAGTATGACTGGTAAATTTAATAGTAATTTGAATAACATTGGTCTGACTCCAGCTTTTCTCCACGGAGGTGCTTTGTCCTCTGGTATGAACATTTATAACAAATAGTGCTGTGTGTTGTAGTAGTTACTGGCAAGGTTTTAAATAGTCACTGTGAATTTCAAGATAATTTTATTGTTTTTCTTTAAAAATTGCAATATTACTGTCAATCTAGTTTTCCTTCATTA